GTTGGTAACAGTGAAATAACATTTAGTATGTTAGAAGAATATTTTTTTTAGGTCTTATATTTTTACAATATTCATTTTTTAATTCATTAACGTGAAACTTCATAGTTTTTGATATTGTATCGGGAAAAATTGTTCGGCAATTCCGAGGTAATGGAGGCCAAGTGTATGACTGTAGTTGGGATTCGCATGAGGACGAAATAATTAATGGATCGGTAAGGTTTGCTTCTGAAAATATTATTCTTGACATAATTCGAGCTTCAGGAACACGATTTTTTCCAACTTGCATTTATACTAAGGAGTCTCAATCTGCTTGATTTTACATTAAAATACAAAAGTTACAAGGGTAATTTTCAAACTTAGTTTATTAAATCTGAACAGCTGAACTGATTGCCAAATTCTAACGATTCCTTCATCCCGTTGTATGCGCCTTGTATCGCGTTTTCGAATTTTATATCTAGATTTATCAATAGTAATTACAATGCTATACTTATTAATCAGCAGAAAACTTACTACACTATGAAAATATTAAAATAATGCACAATATTGAACTGTTTGTAATTTTTTCAATATAGTGATCATATAATTTAAATATTGCTATTTTGGAACATTTTATTTTAAATTTTACTAAAGATTCATTGCTGAAAGTGAGAATATACTTTTGTTCCAACAAAAATTCACATAACTGTATTTAATTTTATTCTTCATGCAGGAGAATGGACTGGCATTGATGCATTTTAATATGCATTTGTTTACACAACAGTTATGGGCAATCTCCGGGAGTGATATTTCTCTGGATGAAAATTTTTGACTCACTCAAGTTTGCTGCTACTTTAATTTCAGTCATTTTAATGACTGCTTAGTAACTTAATTTACTTACTATTTAAAGTAGTCAGAATAATATTATAGAAAGCAAATGATAAACTGTCTGCAAATCACGGTTTCGGTTAATTAAGCTTAATTCAAGTACTTGTTTTATTCAGTTTCAATGTAAATAGAATGTGAGATGCTGATAATTAAATTAGGAACAAGATTTTCACAGTGCAGCATAAACTTTGTACTTGCTATGGATTCCTTTTATATTTTAGTTGCTGAGAATTACGCTGTAACATGTAATTGTGATACGGTGATGGAATGATATACTGCGTATCATTGTGCTCCATGACTGTCAATTTGTACTTGAGATGTCTGATCAAACTAATACAATACATCATCTAAAGAATTTGATAGCATGAAATTATGTGCACAACAATCAAAAGAACTCCTATATTTTGATCAAAATAATAGAATGGCAGTCAAGAATCTTGGAAGTATTTCTAAAACTGAACTGAATGTTACTCTGTAAATGACTACAACTTTTTATGGTAGTAATAATAGAGTGCGTATCTTATTACCAATCTCGATAACTGCCATTTAAAAATTAGGCATCCACTGATTTCATATTGGAAAATTTACTTCCATAGAATCCTTCTATGTTCCAACATTAAACAACATATTTTTCGACTTTAAAGTTTTTTCATATTCAACTAATGGCAGTAAATTATGCAGTTCATGATGTTTAATTCATGAAATATCAAAAGTTGAAGGATTTCTTTCTACTATCGGCTATTAAAGACTGAAGTACGATAAGCCGTTACTAAACAGTTCATCGATGGAAATACCAGAAAAATTTGAAGATAGTGTGCAATTTATATCTTCACGCAGTGCACCACAGACTTCTTGCAAAAGATTATTCACTCTAAAACTGTTGATAATGAACGAAGAAACTTTTTGCCACATTCTACTGCTAAAATTCAAACTTAGAAGTACGATACCAAATAATAAAATAATCAAAAACATGAGATATCTAGTGTTATAGTAACAATAATAAAATATTCTAAAATCAGATGACAGATAGTACGCAAGTCCAGTACAGAATGCATATGTACAAAGTATATTTCTGAGATAAAATATCGATTCCTTTTTTCTCTTAGCAACTTGAGTAGTGCACACAAGCTGTAGAAGACTATTTAAGAGTTTTCTACAGCTTGTGTGGTGGTCGTAGTCAAAGTAGGCTGAACAATGAGATACTATATTAAGAAAGCTGTAGCACAGCTTCCTCTCAGGGTAAATCCTTCTTTAAACTTTGTTGAAAATAAAGATTTAAATTAAATCTTTGTTCAAGAAGTAGCTTCATATATACAACATCAAATCCTTGCAGTGAAAGATTTTCCCTCACAAACTGCATACGTTTTAAAAGTCAAGAACATCACAATTAATGGTTTAGTCATACACAGTTAATACTTTTAAATTAAGTCTGACAGTATGCTGTTGTTCACAAGATGCAGAAAAATAATTTTAAAGACAGAAATATGAGGAAAAAAAGGTAAAAATATATTATAGAATAAAATATTTCCAGTCGGTTCTTTACGTGTTTAATTTGTCCTAACCTCCCTATCAGTTCTCGGTTCTCGTTCATTAGATGCTTCGATCAAGTTGTTTATGTTCTAACAAATTATGTCAGAATTTTGATTCTAGATTATTCTTTAAACATTTCGACAATTCTCTTCTTGAACATTTAGAGCGTGTTTGAGTTGTAGTCGAATAAGATTACTGAATGATTTCAAGTCATCTAGCTTTCTGTAGCTGATTGAGGAATATTCTCCCATACTTTGTATCTGTGAAAAAGCAGTTGAATCGAAGTCCTTCGGCTTTCAGCCAAAATAAATTAAACTGATACTAGTCAGGATATTATCTTTTATACAGTCAAGTCAATTTCTTCTCATGGAAGTTAATTTATATTAGTCATGCACTGACAGTGGACTGAGAATTCCACTAGCGACGTGAACTACGCTCATTGCTCATAGACCTACCAAATCCATAATTTGATACTCATAATGAAAATGTGCTAATCACTTTATAAAAATATGCTAATTATTACTCGAGTTGATAGCTGCCTGTTTTTTATTTTATCCTCGAGAAATTTCCAAAATTACACTATTTTCTCTGATAAATCTTCTCCAATTTTCTTGCATCTGGACTTTATGTATGCAAGTTATGAGCGAAATTAAGGTGTCAATGTGCACAGTATAACTTTTATTGTGCTGAAAAATGAAACACAGAATGCTGAACATGAGTTTTGATCAGAAATAATTAGTGTTACATGCTGCTATTTCAAGATCCATGAAGTTTGAGATGGTACTCAAATTTTCCTACAAATGCAAAAGAATCTACAGAAAAACAGTATATGATGAAAATCTGTCCCACTACATTTTTGTAAAAAAAATTGAGACTAACCAAGATGATTTGAACAAATGAACGATACAGAGCCATCTTGCATGCAGTATTGTAACTCATAACACGAGTCAGGCTTTGCAAGACCTGACGAAAATGGTTTAGGATGTGCAATGTGTTCTAAGTAAGCATGACCTTGCTGTACGATGCTGATTTTAGGAAGCACAGTGCACAGTTGGCGTTGCATTCGCTATGAGATAAAGACTACGAAAATAGTAATGCTATGTAACAGCTTCATATTATTCCACACACAGTTGTGGACATGGGGCTGTTTGCGCTTCAAAACTTACAGAGCAGTTGGAGTTTTTGGCATACCGTTGTAGTGAAATTGATAACATGGCAGGAAGTTGTGAAGATGCTCTTGCATAAGTGATATCTTGGAAGAACTAGGCAGTCAGTCAGCAAAGCTCCAGCGCAAAACTGATTGTAACTCACTGTTGTGTTCTGACAACGCAACTGAGCAAGTGCTAGTGGGCCGACGAGCAATACAAGCGATAGCAAGACAAGAATATCATTGTCTCGCGTACATTAATTGCTGCATGTCACTGAAATGTTTGCTCATAATGTTTGCGCTACCACATAATTGACTTCAATTATTTGTTTCAAAGATTGAGTAAGTGTGAGTTTGATCATTTTCCCGCTTATGTCGATGCAAACTATGTAAGTGAATATGCTCACTAAAAATGCTCAATAAAAAGCAATTAATAACTGAATAAATTGGTCGCAGAATTTCAGTTCTTATTCCAAATGCATTATTCATCTTGTAAGTTAGCCAACCTTAGAGTAGGGACAGTTTTCGCAATTCAAAGCAACAGTATTCCCTTGAATTTCGCTCAAAACATACATGTTGTCATGCATGAGCTTGTGCAAAAAACACTTTGTCTTGATATTTGCGATAATGATTTTTCCCAAACTTAGCCTTTTTTCCCAAATGAGCTAAAGCATTCGTCAACACTGAAAACTTGGAACTGTCAATCCTAATCTGACAGTATTATGTCTGTCTTGCTCACTTGGATTATCTTACGCACTCATCCGATGTCGCATTATCATTCGTTAGCACTTTGCTCTTGCGACTCACTCGAATTATTTTTAATTTGCATTTTCATCTTTTTATTTGCTTCTTATAACTTGTTGTGAAAATTTATAGCCAGTTATTACTACTGCTTATCTTGTAGTTCAAGATCACCTATAAAGCTAGAGATTGCACACCATTACCACAGCTTCAAATTATTTTTTGTCGTAATCATTAGTTCATTCAATAGCCGATGATTTTTGATAATAATTTTTATTTGCCATTCCATAACTATTCAATCTATAGCAGTTCTTTTCTAGGTATAAAAATATGATATCAAAATCAGCAGCAAATTGGAGTACAAAAAATAATTTACCACATCTTTATTATTATCGACATGAAAATAAAGATGATCTACCAATCGTAAACATACTGGAAACCTCAGTTATTGTTTAGTGAATTAGATACTCTTTCTTGTGATTTATTTTTATAATTTAGACGATTTAAGCAACCAAGAGGAAGTTTTTAACGCTAATGAATTAGAGAGCATTTTTATCAACGCTGAAATAGGCCAGGGTTTATTGAAATCAATAAAAAAATCCTTCGAAAAAGTTGTTGGGTTGTAAAGTAAGATATTTCAGGTAAAAAATGCAAAGCTTTATAATGGTGATTTTAATGATAATTAGATTTTCGCCTTCACAAGAGAAGGGAGTCGAACTTTGTGGTCGTTCTCGTGATTTAGAAATTCTTATAGATAATGGGGAACTTGTAGCTGTAAGTTTCTAAGCTTCTTGTTCCTAAGAAATTAAAATAAATGTTACCGCTATATTTTTGGTTTTGTCAGTTTGTATGCGTATTGATAATAAGCTATTAAATCTTCACCTTTTGTAATCTTATTTAAATTTATTAATTATTTAATAATACAAGAAGTTAAAATTTACCGAATCTTAGGTTATTCCTCACATTATATCTTATAGAATATTTTTTGGAAGAAATTTGTGAAATGCGTTTGCTTGCAATTTGGTCATTGCATGAAGGGCCATTTTTAAAAAAATCATGAATAATTTTTCTTTACTCATAATAATAATTATTATTATTATGATATTATTATTAAATGAATAATAATAGATAATAATCTCAACTTCTTTGCCAATGCTGAATACAGCCAGAGTGCCGGAATGCAATCCAGCGCCAGAATCGATGAAGCAGAAAAAATAGACTAACCTCCATATTTTTGTTTTTGTGTAATAATAATAAACAATAATTTATTATTATTATTGTTATAATAATTGAAACCAGGCATTAAGGAAAGAAATTTTCAGTCATCAATTTATAAAATGACTTAAAACAAATTCCTTGAAGTGATATTAATTCCATTTTCATCTGCCGCAACGCCCTGAATGTGTTTCGCCTCGTTATGATATTCCTTATTGATTTTACCATCTATGTCTTAGATGACTGAGAAGCACAAACTTTGGGAAAAAAGTAAATACTGCATACCAGTTATTTTTTGGTTGTCTATCAATTGACAATCATTTTTTACAGTACAGCAAACGTCGAGTGGTTGGAGGTAACGAATCAGAACCCCACGTTTGGCCTTGGACTGCTCAACTGATTTATACTGAAACCAAAATTCATCGTTGTGGTGCAGCGATTCTAGCGAATGATATCGTGATAACTGCTGCGCATTGTTTTTCACGAAGGTTTTGCTTCTCTGTCATTTGCAGTCTCTATTTCAATGACCAATTTGTTGGGGGAATTTACAGTAGTTTACAATTCTATTCAAGACTTTTGGATATCTTCTTGGGCAGATATTTGCTAGTGAAGTTCGAGCAAGAGATTGCTTGTAGATGCATATGGATGGGATTGTGCATGTGCGCATATCCTGTATGCGAAGAGCATGCAAGAAAGAGAGATAATTTGAGGCTGGTAAATGTGCTCTGAATTACTCTAAATGTTGTAGTGTGAGCATATTTTCGCCTTACTTCAGTTAAATGATAAGAAGTGGCTTGTCGAAATTCGCAAGATGACGCTCTAGTGCTAGCAATTCAAATACTTGCTAAAAATACTGTGAGAGTATAATTATTTTGCAGCCGCAATCCAAATCGATATGAAGTCCTTATTGGAGGACACGAGCTTGGCTCCGGAGAAAGCTATACTATCCGCAACATTTCCATTCATCCACTCTTTAACATTTTAATGTCTAGTTCATTCGATGTAGCACTTGCAAGGTAATATATAAATAATATAATATATGGGAAAAAATAGATGCATAGACGTAATCAAAAAAATCAACTCGAGTGAGAACTGATAGCCCGCATCAGATGGTAGTAGATGGTACTGCTAAAAATGATGATATGTTTAGCAAATTGCAACATTTTTTGACAAGAAAGAACAAAAATATAAGTTACGAGATGCAGTTGTTAGACCTGTATCACATTAAGCCTCACAACAATTTTAGACTGCAGCACAAAATAAAGTTCGATGAAAATGTTCGGCCAGTTTGCTTGCCAACGTTGGAACCGTCAGTTCGAGATGATTGCATTGTTACTGGTATGTTCTAGGCTTACTTTATGATAAATATATTCATGAGTATATTTATCATAAAATGGTCTTGTAACTATAATTTTCTTAATTGCAAATTAATATCAAAACGCTCGTTGCTATTACTTACATATATTTCATTGTTTTTTGAGGATGGGGATATCAAGAAGAAAGTGGTCGATTTTCTCCAAAGTTACGTGAAATACGTGTCCCAATTATTCCCGTTGCTATATGCAATAGTATGATACATTATTTGGGTCGAGTTGATCCTTTATCAATGCTCTGCGCGGGATCTGGAGGTGCAGATGCATGTCAGGTATGTAACGCTTATTTCAGTGATGTTCATACTTCAAAATATTTTATACAGAAAATAAAGTAAAAATTTTATTACATAAAACTTATTGTAAATAAGGATTTACTTGTTTCGCATTATTTCAAATGAAACAACCAATGGAGTAATTTTGAATGTCGATATACATCTCCATAAGCAACATGGATGCAAGAAAACGTGTTGTGTATTATGCCTGAAAATGCATATCATTTCAGGGTGATTCAGGTGGGCCCTTGATGTGTTATAGTAATGTTCGTCAACGATGGGAACTGCAGGGAGTGGTGAGCTGGGGTCACGGGTGTGGTAGGAACAACAGTCCAGGAGTGTATTCCAAAATTAGTGCTGTTGCAGCATGGATCACTTCTCAGATGAATATACTTAAACTTAATGATAATGATGTTCTTTAAGATATGGAATGCTCATGATCTGACTCAAATGAATTAATCTGATCTCCAAAGAAAAAGGAGTTTAAGAAATTTCATCGCATCAGAATAATTGATTGCTTATGAATAACTAGCTGCACGTGAAATGGCACCAGTTTCGTTTCTCATTCAAAAAGTTTAATTATTAGTTTGCACTGCTTTCAGTAATTATGAGAAAAGAAGTCTTTATTCTCCAAAAGGCACACTTTGGGAACAAACGATATTGTTTACATCATTTTCAATGAATGTGGCATTCTGCTGTGTGTAATAATGCATAGAACGGTTTCTGGTTCCGTAGTATTTGCTAACAAACACTATTCATAGTTGTTTCAGTTTACTGCCATCTCAATTTTGAATTTAAAGTTAACTGTTATTAGCATAAAACTTGATTGCCCACACTTTCTGACAGAAAAGGTTCTAGTTATTGTAGAACTAGATATGCTAGGAAAGAAGTTAACAAAATACACAAACTATGTGTTGCACATCAATTGCAAACAGTAGTTTCGATATGATCACAGAGCAATAACCCACAATCTCATCGTTCTGCATCCATGCAAAAGAGCACTAACTTCCTGGTACCAGCTAATGCAGTGATGCTTATTCCTTGCAAACAAACAGGCACAGTGTTAAAAATAAATACTCAGCTGCTAAAAAGTAGTAACGTACAGATAAGTGAAGTACTGAGCGAGCAAGTATGAAGATGAGGAGCATCTCATAAAGAGTTGTGCAGCGATCTTACCAATACAGAGTAATATTGTTATTAGGATATTAATGACCAATTGAGTGACTGAATAACTAACTTATTAACCGAGTAACTGACTAATTAACCGACTGACAGAGGAACTGACTGACTAAGACTGTATCTCGTTGCTCTCTGAGGCAAATCGTTGGACGAACCTCTTTGTACCCACACAATCCAAAGAAAGCTTAACTGAACGTAAATTGTTCCCAGTCAAAACCAAGTTCAGTTAGTCTCGCTGGCTATATTACATTAAGTTTCTCATTATAGCTAAAGCACAAGATCTGGGCATCGTTTGATTTAGATTACTTATTTCCATACATTTCAACTTTCAACTTTGAACTGTTGCGCCGCCGCGTGACGTTATGTCATATGTAGCAAAAATCATGTAATGATTGCTGTGACATCAGCGTTGAGATAGATGTTTATTTTGATTATCTAAATAATCTTAGCACAAAGTATTATTGTGATATTGATGTTTAGGATCGTCGCTTGTCGTATTTATTTACTTATTCATTTATATTTGTTTATTTGTATTTATTTATCTAATTTATTTATTCATTTATGTATCATTTTCATACCTCTCCTCATTCGAATATGCAAAATTCAATGAGTATGTATATATTCAGTCAATTGCCTCTGACTACGTGTAATACCTTCAATTACAAATGTCAAATTTAATTTCAGTGATTGGGCAATAGAAGTTTTCAATATTTTTGCAGGGTGATATGCTAAATAAAACGAATTGATATAATTGTTACGCGTCTAACATTACTAAATTTTTATATAAAGATATCCATAAGTAATGATGTATCACTTATTTAACCAATATTTAATTGGCTTTTAAATGAAACGCTTTCGTTATAGAAGAACAAATATATGGACTTCAATAGTTGGTTATTTAAAATGCAAAATTTTTATATGTCGAACATTTGCGGAAATGGTAATAACTTGCAACATATGTAAAATAACTGCAGCGAATAATATTAGCAATTTACAAATAAAGGTGAGTTACTTTTTAACTTCCATTTGTCAGTTAGTGTCGTCAGTTTGTTAAATATCAGTGCTAAAACATGTTTTCACCAATTACTGGTGTTTTCTTTAATGAGGTTTATTTTCCTGAATTCTTTATTTAATGCATTAAATCAGTTATACGTTTCTTCAAGTCTTTTTTTTCGTTTACTTCATCAATTGATGAAGTCTAATCTTGTTCTATACTGGATAAAAACTTTTCGTATTGACGCAGGAAATCAGTTCTATCATGAAATTTTATCAAATTTTTAGAAATTGACTTTCACTCGTGAAACACACGATAGAAGGGAATTGTTTTGTAAATATTGCTTTAGGTGCTTAAAAACTGAAAGTGTATTCTTGTCTTTTTTTTGATAGTATATAATTTTAATTGCATGAATTGACTTTTCCTGTTTTGTACAATTGCAACAGATTACAATACTGAAATATTTTACTAATATTATGGTTTATTGTTGGAATCGTTTGCAGTTTTGTTTCTTCAAACGCTCTGTTTTTCATAATTTATTTAGAGGATTGTCAAAAGTGGTGAATTAAATTCAGTAATTATTGGGTGAAGTCACAAAAATTTCATTTTTCTGATAAAGTTTTAAATATTGTGGACACAATGAAAAAATAGATACGTAAATTGAGCATATGTATTTTGCAGAAACATTTAATAATATTGCTCAAATATTTTTGCTGAAATCAAAAATTCATCTAGACAGTTTATTGATATTTTTGGCTTATTTTTTGGAAGAGATTTTCTTTTCCTTGATTTCGATGTAATGAATGTTTTGTAGCTGTTAGTTAACGGTATTGAACATTAGTCAAAGTATTGTTGATTGACTTTTAGGATAACTTTCCATTTTTTGACTATCAGTAGTGCTAATTTTTAGTATTCACTCATCTTTTGCCCATTATTTACTATTCTAAAAAGCTCTGAACTATTGAGTTTAAAGTTGGCACATAAGGCAAATTCGTTTACTTTTCGCTTCCTTTTTAAATGGAGCACTATATGTAATGTCACTTTAAATTCTTAAAATGTGACTGTTCTGGACAGCCATGAGACGTTAATTTAGAAGTTATCACTATAAAAATTTCTTCTTCAGTCGGCTGTTCTATAAATAGGAGCATCGGAAAAATTAATCGCGGTATTAGGTAACTGTTCCACTTTATTATTCGTTGCTACTAACACTTTTCTATCTTATCATTTAGTCATACAATATATGAATAGTTACTGTAGTTGAGTTTAGGTGGTACTGATAAAAAAGTTGCTATTTTCATGATGAAGTTTTATGTTGCACAGAAATCAGGAATCTATAACTAGGTTTGCTAGTAGCTTACTAGTTTGCTCAAAATTCAGTTTGATATAATTTCGTAAGCTGATTTTCACTACGTTATAAAAATTGTGACATTTGAGTGAGGAATTTCCAGTTTACATTTGGATCCTTCTAGTTTTAGAACTTTCATTCATTAAGTCAGTCTTCTGTAAGCAAAATAACAATGTCGGGAATCTTGACATTAAGTCAATTCAACTGATTTATGCCTTCTTTCTAAAGTATGGTTATAGGCATTTGTGCATTTCTCAAATGAATTTTGAGTCGATTTCGATTTTGAAGTCGAATCAAACAGCCATGAGCATGTGGAATGCATTGTCGGAACTGATTATGACTAGGATAGACGACATTATTTATACTGAATTGCTACTTATTTCCTTTTTTTTCTCACTATTTATGAGACGGGTAACACTCTTTCAATATTCTATTTATTTTCTGTGATTACCTTATGCAATTCTGGAAGCAGTTCATTTATTTATTCCAAGAATAGAAATTATTTTTAAGTCTACTTTTTGTTTCGCATGTATGCAAACTTTTAGTCTGTGATGAAAACAACAATGTTCTAAAAAGGAAAATTTTAACGGAAAGCAAACGTGCGTGATTTGAGGGCTGCCCATTTTGAGTTGCAAATGACTTATAAAAAATTGAATTTTAGATCCGATGGGGTATAATTCGTGAAATTTTTGGTGCTTTGATCGGTGTTTCACTGATTTATTATTTCACTGGATGGAAACTATTTTATTCACTCACTATTGTGGTTGTGAATATTATCTTAAATTCGGTTATCAAAAACAAGTAAATTTTATAGTTGACAATTTTGAAGTTGGAAATCAGTGATGCTATTAATCGCCTTCATTTAGAGATACTCAAGTTTTTGCAGTTACTTGCCACTGATATCTTTTCTTGTAACATTCATTTACTTGGGATTTTTGCGAGCCATACATTTGATAGGATTACCAGCGCTTGTCTCGCATTCAAATGCTGTTCAGTTGATTTTAACGTTAAGAGTATGTTTTTATGATGTTTTTGTTGAGAATTCGTGCATCAATTAAATCAATCAGTCTTCTCTAGAAAATATGGATCAGTGCTTGATCTTAGAGGATTGGTGTTTGCATTCAAGTATGAATTGTATAAGTTAATGTATAATAATAATGAAATTAGCACCTTGTTCAGATCTATCGACTGATTTATTAAGCTCAGAAGATTTTAGATCCATAAAAAATTACGACTTTTGACATTTTTGTTAGTTTCATTAACTCACATAGCAGGTGTATGATGAATAAAAAAAATCAGATAAAATCAGAAAACTATTAATTACGAGAAGATAGTTGTTAGGAAGTGTTATTTTTCAGCTTGTTGGTTTAAGTTTCGAAATTTCTGACAGCAGAAAAAAGAATGAATTAAAATATGATCCAAAGAAAACACGATTTATCAAAGAGCCGTCATGGTGGCAATCCTTTCTGTACGCGTACAATTTTCCTGGCCTTTTCACCGGTATTTACTCTATTGTCTGTAAGACATGAATTTGTCGTGCAATCAATTTTTTTTCTGACATCAATCCTTTCAAATTCTATAGCATTGAAGGAATTGGTCAGTTTGAAACTCACACTTCTAATGGTTGAATTTTCATTTTACAATTTACTCAGTCGTTGATACAACTTTTTATTTCTGTTTTTTAAGCTTTTAATTTTTCGCTTTATATAAAACCAATTGTTTTTTTGTGTTTATCGCTTAATGCTTTATTGTCTATTCTCAGTTCATTTTTAATAATCGAAGTTCAATTCCATGAGCGGAGTTGTTTGGCTGTACAAAAATTTCTGACATTAATTGCGCTTCATTGCTACTACACTCACCAATCAAAATTCCTTCAAGGCACATAAGCATTTTATGTCAGTTTAAGGTCCATACTACACTTATGCAATGTATCGGGATGTTATTGATAACGACAATATTATGGATATTTCCGTATGGGAGCATATCGGTTGGCGTTTGTACAATTTCGCATGGTCACTACCCGCATTCTTGATCCTCGTCTATGCTTTCCCAATTGAGGTCCGCTTTCTTTGATTCTCGTGTATGCTTTTCCCCCAATTGTTGTGCTGTTGATGAAACTGAGCAGCTACAGCCATTAAAAAAATCATATATATTAAAGCTTAATTAATAAATTAATAACAAATAGTTGAACGATTGAATATTAGGATATATATATATGTATATATAATGAATAAAATGTGGCAGCTAGTTTTATTTTTCGCTTTGTTGATTCTGGCACTGGATCGCATTACGTATTCTGGCATTCTGGCTATGCTTGTCCTTCGCTCAGATCAGATTTCTTGTTCTCATCGTTTTCCCTTCGTTCTCGTGAAACCGATAACGATTGTCGAAGGAGAGATGCTTTCGAGTGTCTTCCTTGAAAACTATCTATTAAATATATGCCTCGAGGTGATCAGATATAATGATCTCTTTCGCGTTGCCTTTGTGAAAGTTCGTTACAATTCCATCCCAAGTCATCACATACGGAATTATTTTGATTCTATATTTCACCTCTTACCCAAACTTATTAACAAGTAGCTCATATTTTCGCTTTTTCTCATTCTCTCTGTCAACCTATCTTGACTAGTGATGCCTACTTCTATCAGAATTACTTCATGTCGATCCTTATCATGATATCCGGTCCCTTCGCACTTGTCTTTATAGCTTTTCTGACGTATCGATTTTGATCTCTACATTTTCCTTCTCGACGACCTGAACAGAATGGCTTCGCTTGTGCGGAAATGCTTTCAGACTATACTTCTTGCAGAGTCCCAAATGGATGCATCGTAGGATCTCATTGCGTCTTCTAGTATAGTCGTGATGTAATTGCATTGCTAGATAGTCCACCGTCTTCACACGTTCCCCACAATTTTGGCACATGCTTTTCTGAGCTCCAAACATCTTTCTATCTTGGAGGTTATAGTATCGTGCCTCATCTTGCGGGATAATGTTTCCGTATTGCAGCCATTATGATGAATCAGCTATGGACGAGATTTTGTTGCTTCAGAATCGCTGCCCTTCTGGTAAAAATGGGTGCGGTATCTACGAAACCATTATGTAGCTGGAGAAGCATAAGCTCACTGTTCTGCTCAACA